ATTATAGATTATATATATAATTGAAATTTAAATTAAGTTATATATAAAAAAAATACTATATTAGAATATATAAATTTTATTTAAAATTTGAATGAATAAATATTTTAAATATATAAATTATATTTTATATATTAAATTTATGATAAATAATTTAGGTTAAATTATGATTTTGGTTTTTTTTATCTTATTTGTTAGATTTTATTTTAGTTATTTATCTTTTAAAATATTCATTATGGTATTATACGTCTTAAATTTGGACTAATTTAATCTTTTTGAAATAGTAATTTGTTTTAATTTTGAAACATGATTTTAGATTATTTTTAACTAATTCAAGATTTAAAAGTTATCTCATCAGATTCACTTATATAAAAATTGTTAACCGCAACAAAAGTTCAAATAAAAAAATGTATTATAGACATGATGAAAATTACATAAAAATAAATTCAAAAGCCAATTGAAATATCAAAAATTATAATTTTATATTATTTTCTAATTGCTTATTAAAAATATTTTTTACATTATTTTTATTGTGTTATAACTCTTATGAACTCAAACGTTAATTAAATTTTATAATTTTTATATAGTTGAATTTATTATTACAAGTTTTACGTCTCAAATCAGTTAAAAATTGATTAAAAATTGAGTTACAAAATTAAAAATTATTATTGTTTTAAAAAATACAAAATTAATCCAAATATAAAAAGATAAAAGAATAAAATAAATATTTTAATAGATAAAGGATTAAAATAAATATAATAAACAAGATAAATAATTAAAATGAATATAATAAATAAGATAAATGATCAAAATTATAATTTAATCAATAATTAACATTATAACATAATTATTAATATTTTATTTTAAAATATTATCTTCTGCTTTAAAATGTTTTTAAGAGTTATTATTTGATAATAGTGTTTTTAGATATTCTTTAAATTTCTTATTTAATTCAATTTTTATTTATCATAATTATTTATTATTCAAATTTTAATATTTTAAAATAAACTATTAATAAATAAAAATAGTCTTGTACCATAAATTATATATCACAAATTTAAAATATGATTTATATGTTTAAAACAATCTTTTTATATAAATTTTAAATATAATTTATATATCTAAACATAATCTTAATTTGTATAATTAACTTATATATAAATTATAGTTATATATAATAAATAGGTTAAATACCTCTTTTGGTCCCTTACAATGTTTTTTTGTTTCAATTTAGTCCCACTTTAATTTTTGGTCTCAATTTGGTCCTCAATAATTTAAATCGTTCCAATTTGGGACTTCCGTCTAAATGATTTAAATGGAATTAATTGATGGCCACGTGGATGCCAGGTGGATGCCATGTAGATGCTACGTAGGTGGATCCAAAAATACTGGAATGGAACCAGAACGGCCCGTTCTGAAACCAAAACGGTCCGTTCTGGTTACATTATTGGTGTGCAAAATTTGCACCTGAAACGGACCGTTCCAGGTCCAAAATTGACACATCAACAGTATACCCAGAACGGGCCGTTCTGGTCCAGAATTTCGTGCACAAAAAAACCAAAATACAAAGCATTTTTTTTAGGGAAAATACAAAGCATTTCAAACACTAGATTTAGTAATATTGTTAATGAGGATTAATAACTTCAATCGCTAAACATTTGGGCTATACAGTATATCATTAAGGATGATGCAGTGTATCACTAAGGACAATGGTAACAAGTTTTATTTCATTGTTAGTCAAACTGGAGTGAACCACTTATTATCAAATTGACACTATACAGTCAAAGATAAAACGAAATAGTGTTTTTCCTTAAAGTCATTGACGATGTACCCCATCAATAACAACCTGTTCTTGAGGAGGTACCCCTAAACCCTGAATTTTATTTTCAATTTTTGAAATACATTGCGGCATTTTAGTCAAGATTTTGAACTAGATAAATTCAAATCAAAGAAATATTTTGAAAGGTCTTATCTTATTTGATTTTTTTTTAGTTTTATTCATAAATGAATATTAGTTTATTGTATTTTATATTTATTATATATTTATTAATAGATATAATAAAAAAATAATAATAAAAAACATGGCGTTCTGGAACGGGCCGTTCTGAATTCTGAACGACCCGTTCTAAAACCAGAACGGGCCGTTCAAAAACCAGAACGGCCCATTCTAATATCAGAACGGCCCGTTCTGGTTTCAGAACGGGCCGTTCTAGTTCCAGGTTTTTTCAAGAATTTTGGCGTCCACGTGCGCATCCACGTAGATGCCACGTGGCCAACAGTTAACTCCGTCTAAATCATTTGAACAGAAGTCCCAAATTGCACTAATTTAAGTTATTGGGGACCAAATTGAGACCAAAAATTAAAGTGAGACTAAATTGAAACAAAAAACATTATAAGGGACCAAAAGAGGTATTTAACCTAATAAATATTACCACGTGTATTGTACATACTAAAATATTAATTAAAGTTTAATTTATAAATAGTTATAAAAAATAAAAACTAAATTAGTTATAAAATTAAAAGAATTCTAAAATGTAGAAGAAAAAAAATTCTTCAAAAAGTTCTAAAAACACTTATATGTATAAAGGTTGACAAAATAAAAAACGAACTAGATAAATTAAAAGAATCCTTAAAAATCTTTTTAAAATATTTTATAAATATTTTTGTACAAAATAGTCATTTACACAAATAGCAATTTTGGTTTTCTACTATCACGATGTTGAGTGTTGAAAACAATGCTTGATGCCATTTTTACAAACAATTTTACAACTGGCAATTTTAGTATTCTCTTCTCCAATCCATTGATTTACATACACAAAATGGAACATACTCCAAAATAATCATATTATGCCTCTAAAAGGCAAGATTTGCACATAATTACATTTTTATTAATTGCTTGCACAATACTCCCTCCGTTTTTTTTTCATAGTCGTTTAAGGTTTTGCACGGGACTTAAGGAAATCATTGATATTTTAGTTTTCAAAAATATTTATTACTTACTTTCCTATTTTACGCTTTATTTATTTTTTGCATTTTTTAGACTGTTGAACTACTCCATTAAATAGTTGTTCCTTTTTTTTTGTTTTTTTATAATATTTTGTTGGGAACATATTACTCTTATAAATGCACATTAACTTTATATGAGTAGTTGGAGAAAAATTAGGTAGACATTAAAAATAAATACACACGTTATGCAGGAAATATGTATTAATTATCAAGGGTAAAAATGGAAGAAAAAAATTAATAACTCATTGATTTTAGTAATATGATAATGAAAAAAAACAACAAACTCTGACAAAACGACTATGAAAAAAAAACGGAGAGAGTAACACTTAAACACATCTCTTTAGAGTTCCCATAAGAATCTTGGGCAACTCAAATCATACCAAATTCATTTAATACATGAAATTAATCATAGATAATCTCAATTTATAATAGTTCAAGAGTAAAATAGTCATGATAAAGACAACAATGAAAATAAATAATAATTGAAAATTTTCCCTTATACAACACAAATAGGTTCGGAGCCAACCTCACTACCCAACAATTATCTTACACCTTAACTCCCTCTTATCTTATTTAGTGTTGGGTGCAATAAACTTGGTTCTAGAGTGATCTTTCATAGTTTCTCCTCTCCTTAGTTCTCCAAAGCGTAAAAAAAAAAATGTGAGAAAGGAAAGAATTGGCACATCTTTCTTTTTAACAACAAACTTAAATCAACCTCTCTTAATATTAATCAAAAATAATTTGATACTTCATTTTTATAAAACAAAATTGATGTTATATATTCACTTCAAAATATACTAAAATATGAATATTTTGATTACCTTCAAGTTATTATTCAATTTTAACAAAATTTGATATATACATATAAAATGATATGAACTTTCAATCTAACGGTTAGATTTATAAAATTCACAATTAATATAAAGTTATTAAGTAGTGTAATACTTAGTAAAAGTTACATCGGTGTCGTTTGAACCCTTTTCATATATATATATTATAAACAAGCGTCTTTTTTATTTTTAATTTACGAAGTAAAATAAGGAAATAATCGCCATTTGCGAATATTAAATACAACAACAGAATTTATTGTTATTGTTTTTAAAATTAAAAAAGCGAACGGGAAAGGAACACGTTAGCAAGAAGTAGAAGGGCTAAAGGCAGCCACGCCACAAAATCGTAGCAGCCAATGAGAGGAGGAGCTTGGATCTTGGGTTGGCCGCATTGTGTTGTGTTGTTAGAATTTGTACCGATTCTATCCTTCTCGCATACTTCTCGCTTTCATTAAAAATCTCACTTCTGCCTCATTTCTCCTTTCACATAAATGAAAAGAAAAATAAATAAACCTCTTTCCTTCCACGCCTCAAATGCAGTTCGCGGTTCAAATTGTCCACCATGGCATCTTGGCGCTTGTGGAATAAAAAGGAACAACAAAAACCTATGCGTACTTAAGTCTAACTCTGTAATCAATTGAGTATGGTTTTGTGAATTGCAGCGATGGAAACAGCGCTCACTTGCTTCTTCTGTGGTAAAGTCCCGGCGAGAGCAAAATTAGGGGCTGCAACTGCAAGTGAGCGCTTCCGTTGTAATAATGCCTCTGGATACGTTCGTTTTTCTTCCTTCTGCCGTAACAATGCCTATGCCATGTCCACGTGTTCTCTGTCCCCTTCATTCGGAACCCATCGACTCATTCGAAGCGCCGCCAACAGCAGTAGCAGTGAAACTAAGGCTCCCAGTGATGCCAAAAGTAGAAGAAGGAGAAGAAGGAGAAGCGGCTTTGAAAAAAGTTGGTCTTCTTCTCAGACTCAGGCGGTGGAGGAGGAGGGTAGTGGTATCCATCAGAATGGAGACCCTATTGGGAAGAAGGATCTTGGGAAGAGCGTGATGAGGTGGATTCGCGATAGCATGAGGGCTATGGCATCTGATTTGGCAGCAGCGGAGTTACAGGGAGAGTTGGAGCTGTGGGAGCGCATGCGACCGGGTCTCACTTTTATCATGCAGGCCCAGCCATACCTGAATGCAGTTCCGATGCCCCTTGGCCTTGAAGTTATCTGCTTGAAGGCCTGCACCCACTATCCCACTCTATTCGACCATTTTCAGAGGGAGCTTCGTGATGTTCTCCAAGACCTGCAGAGTAAGTCCTTGGTTCACGACTGGCGAGACACCGAGTCCTGGAAACTGCTTAAGGCCCTCGCCAATTCAGGTCTCTATTCCTCCTTACATGAACACTTTTTTGTTCACAACTTACATACAGTACTATAGGTGCTGTTCTATGATCATAATTGGAGTTTTACTCTGACAATATGTGTATTACTAAGGTAAAATTCAAGTTTCGATTGGAGGACGGCACCAACAGTACTATCTAAGTTTTGTCTTATTGCATTGCTCCCTGAGATTGAGAATGGTTCATTTGCAGCTCAGCATAGGGCAGTTGTGAGAAAGATAACGCAGCCGAAAACTGTTCAAGGCGTTTTAGGAATGGATTTAGAAAAGGTCAAAGCCTTACAGCACAGGATTGACGAATTCACCAACCACATGTCGGAACTGCTCCGAATTGAAAGGGATGCTGAATTGGAGTTTACTCAGGAGGAATTGGATGCTGTTCCTAAACCAGATGATACTTCTGATTCTTCAAAACCGATTGATTTCTTGGTTAGCCATGGCCAGCCTCAACAAGAACTCTGCGACACTATTTGTAATTTAAACGCCATCAGTACCTCTACAGGTCTTTCTGCTTTTCCACTTTTCATTTCACTTATTCAGACAAATGCATTGTGTACATCAGGGTCTCACATCGACTTTCCTTCTTAAATTTAGTCTTTCCTTTATGGGTGCGTTTGCTATAAAAGTTGAATTGTTGACATGCTTATGAGTTACATGATATATAATATGTGGTAAAGTACAGGAAATTCATTGATATTTTAGACATGGACTATATCAAACATCTTGGTGAAACATACTAGCGGTTTGTTTTCTTTTCTCCAATCAAATCATTTCTTGCTATTATATTTAGTAGGGATAATCTTATACTCTGGAATAGTAAGAAACAAATGGGGTCACAATATCTTGTGCTAAAGAATAGTATCGAGCCATTACATCAACCACTTTTCATCTTATTTAGTTCAAAGAATCACGCTGCAGGTGATACCCATTAGTGACAATTAAGCTGCATTTCATATTGTCTCAAATCAAGTGTTTCACGCGAAGAGCAAACACATTGATATTGAATGTTATTTCATTAGAGTGAAGATTTTATCTGAAGTCATTACCACTCACTTCGTCAATTCAAAATTTCAAATGATCAACTAATAGATAATTTATCTGAGTCTTCAAGAAGTACTTAAATATTCATACTAACAGGCTTGATGCATATGATGACCCATATGCTCTTTCTTGAGATGGAGTGCCAATGTGTTACTATGTAAATAATGTCTAGGTCCATTGCATAGGAATAACCAAATCATGTAATTTTAGTAATTTGGATTTAGGGCCATTGTAGTTGTCATTGGATTCCCTCACAGGTATAGTAACACATCTTTATATAAACGCGTCTTCTCTGGTTCTCAGCAACAGCGACTCTAATATTGATTCTCAAATTTATGCTTAAATAAATACACTACATTACATCTTTTTATGACATATTGCTTTGAAAAATCTATGTATTGACTTATTAATATCAATACTAAAAATTTTAAAATTTTACATTTACATATAATTACGAAGTAAGTAAGCAATTTTTAACATGGAATTTATTTATTCAAATTCCACAAATTGTTAATCAATTAATACACCACATAAAATTTTTATAATAGTCTTACATGGATAGGTAGATAGTTCTGTACCAATATACTTTATATCTAATATTGGTTTAAACTGTATATCGAGAGATTAGAAAATAGATACACATGGAAGGTAGAGACTCGGACCTAGATGAACCTTGACTCATGTAGGTTTACAATGGAAATCATAATTACGTGATCTGGTCGATGCCAATAATCTAAGTCATAAACCCCAAGAAAATCAATAAGTTATATTTCAAAAATCTATATTATGTATACGCATTTTGTCTTAACTAATGAAAGACATGCATAGGATGCTCTTATCAATTTAGTCTTTGAAACTTAAAAAGCTTCTTCAGTAAAGATGAGTAGCTAAATTCAGTCTGCCTGGTATGGTCATATTTCATTATGTAAACAGGACTTGGGGGAATGCATTTGGTGTTATTCAAGGTTGAAGGAAACCATCGGTTACCACCTACCACTCTTTCACCCGGAGACATGGTTTGTGTAAGAACGTGTGACAGCAGGGGTGCAATTACAACTTCTTGCATACAAGGATTTGTAAACAGTTTCGGGGATGATGGCTATAGTATTACAGTTGCTCTAGAGTCACGCCATGGTGATCCTACATTTTCTAAACTATTTGGGAAGAGTGTACGCATTGATCGTATTCAAGGACTGGCTGATACGGTTACCTATGAGGTATTGTAATCTATCGTGTGGTTTCTTTCATTTAGCCAAAACTTTTGTGGCTCCAAGAAGCGTTAGTGAAACAATTTGAAAGGGCTCCATGAATTCTATGAAAGTTGAAACTAAGTAGTTTTTTGAATCAGGGTGTAATGAGTGTTTAATTTTTGTGTTTAATCAAGTACAATAAAAGAAAATCAATGGTATCTAAGGAAAAAGAAAAATCTATGGTCAACTATTAATTAGTTAATTCATCTATTTTGATTTAGAAGGTGACAAGTCTAATAATTATAAGCATGTTTACTATAAACTGTCAATATGCATTTTACTTTCATAATCCAAGAGTCTAAACTATTAAACACCAAATTTTTACAGCTAGAAAGTTGATGTTACATGTTGACAGTTGACACCAATTTTATCATAATATTGATCTCTTTATCTGTTTGGCTGTGGACATTAATTGATTCTAATTTTCCTATTTGTATAACTAACATAGATCTTCCCTGAGGTTATGAAAAAAATCATACAAAGCTCCTTTTATTTTAGAAATTATGACATTCTTAAGTTAAATATTAGACTAATTATTGCAGTCATCTCTACCTTGTCAAGGTACTCTAGGGTTTTACGGAAATGCTGATGTCATGTACAAACAATGTTTATGTATTCTGTTCTAAAATAATATATTGATCATTCATCATACAAGAGAATGTATTTAATTCTTGACATTAACAAGATGGCAAGTTGTTTGATCCAAACTATGAAGATTGAATTGGAAAATTCTAGTGGATTTAATGTTGTCAATATTTCTGTTAATAATTGGGAAGCATCCATTACTCCTGAGATGGAAAGAGACGGTGGATGTAGTTTTAAGTCATGTTTAAAAAACTGTATATGATTTATTATTTTTCTCTTCCTGAAGAAATAATACTCAGTTACTGTTGTATGTTCCACATCAACTGCATTGGTAATTCTATTGATCAGGTCATATGTCCTTTTAACCATGAAATGATTTGTAATTTTTTCTCTATGTTAGTTACTATCCTACACTTACTGTTGTTAGAATATATGAAAAGTATCTTATCATATCTTGATTGCATCTTAGAGTAATTTAGAATATCTTAGATTATCTGTTAGGATTGGTTTTCATGTTTCCATAGATTTTCACTGTTTATTTCCTCATTTTATTCAGATTATGAGTCTAGCATTAATATAAATAAGGGTCAGTGCTATATGTTCTGTGACACGTCATGCCATATAAAATCAATATTAATTTCAGAATATTCAATTTCTATTCTCTCATTTTCCTCCCTCAATACCTGAAGTCCCATAATTTTGACAACCTCATCTTATATTGGATAATTTGTTGCAGCTCCTGTCTTGTTTCTTTCTTTTTATTTGTTTAGCATTGCCCTTTTCTGTTATTAAATCATAGATCAACACCTTTTTTTTTTTTTTTTTTTTTTTTTTTTTTTTGAATTGCCTTTTTTTTTTTTTAAAAAATAAAACAACCCCTTTTTTTTTTTTTTTTTTTTTTTTTTTTTGAATTGCCTTTTTTTTTTTTTAAAAAATAAAACAACCCCTTTTTTTTTTTTTTTTTTTTTTTTTTTTTGAATTGCCTTTTTTTTTTTTTAAAAAATAAAACAACCCCTTTTTTTTTTTTTTTTTTTTTTTTTTTTTGAATTGCCTTTTTTTTTTTTTAAAAAATAAAACAACCCCTTTTTTTTTTTTTTTTTTTTTTTTTTTTTGAATTGCCTTTTTTTTTTTTTAAAAAATAAAACAACCCCTTTTTTTTTTTTTTTTTTTTTTTTTTTTTGAATTGCCTTTTTTTTTTTTTAAAAAATAAAACAACCCCTTTTTTTTTTTTTTTTTTTTTTTTTTTTTGAATTGCCTTTTTTTTTTTTTAAAAAATAAAACAACCCCTTTTTTTTTTTTTTTTTTTTTTTTTTTTTGAATTGCCTTTTTTTTTTTTTAAAAAATAAAACAACCCCTTTTTTTTTTTTTTTTTTTTTTTTTTTTTGAATTGCCTTTTTTTTTTTTTAAAAAATAAAACAACCCCTTTTTTTTTTTTTTTTTTTTTTTTTTTCTTTTTAAATTTATATCCTATGACTTCCACGGGGAAAAGTAGTACTAGTAGTCCTTCATGAACCTCTTTATGACTTATCTCTATACATCTCTTGCGGTCTATGAATGTGAATAACTTAATTAGTATATCATGATTGGTTGAATATGTAGTAATGGATTCAGTTTCTAACTATGGGGTACAATATATAAGTTGTAAGAGAGGATTTTATTAATTTGTTTCTTACTAATTACATTCTTCTCTTACCCTATTATATAGATACATTTGTCCCTAAAACAAGTAACTATGAAAATAAAAAAAAATAAAGTAAATAAATAAAAATTATAAAATAATATCAAATCTCTCAAGATACTTTTATTTACAACACTTCCCCTTAAGTTGGTAAATGAATTTCAATCATTCCCAACTTATTAGCTCTTGAAATCTACTAGTAGGAAGTCTCTTAGTAAGTACATCCGCCACTTGGAGTCCAGTAGGGACGTGAGCTGTAACAATAAGACCAGTGTCTAACTTATCTTTGATGAAGTGTTTTTCTATCACAATATGCTTGGTCTTGTCATGTTGAACTAGATTGTGAGCAATGTTGTGACTTCTTGTCACAAAACAACTTCATAGGTAACTATTTTATTTTTGAAGACATTAAAAATAATCTTCATCCATAGCCCTTTACATATGTCTTGTGCTAAGGCTCTGAACTCAGCTTCTACACTAGACCAAGCAATTACGTTCTATTTTTTATTCCTCCATGTCATCAAATTCCCTCCCAAGAACATGCAATATCCAAAAGTTGATCTCCTATTTGTGATTGACCCTGCATAATATGCATCAGTATAAATCTCCAAAGACATGGTGTCTACTCTTCTGAATAGTAATCTCTTCCCTAGACTCGACTTTAAGTACTGAAAGATCCTATCAACTACTTGCATATGCCTTTCTTGAGGGTCATGCATGAATTGACTAACTACACTCACAACATAAGCAATGTCTGGTATAGTGTGTCATAGGTAAATTAGCTTCCCTATCAATTTCTAATATTGATACTTATCTACCGAAAGACTTTTTTCACTTCCAATTTTGTGATTCTGTTCAATTGGAACTCTTAAGGTTCTGCATCCCAACTTTTTCATTTCATTAAGATCAAGGAAATATTTTCTTTGTGAGATAAATATGCCTTTCTTGGAATAAGCAACTTCTATTCTCAAGAAAAACTTTAGCTTCACCAAGTCTTTCATCTAAAACTGTGTTGCCAACTTCTTCTTTAGGGTCAATTTTTCTTCTTCATCATCACCTGTAATGATCATATCGTCTACATAGACTAGGTATAGTGAGATTGCCATTAGGGGTGTGTTTTATGAACAAAGTATGATCACGTTTGTATCCCAAGGAAATCATTGTTTGGGTAAATCTTCCAAACCATGATCACGTTTGTAACCCGTACTATATTCATCTTTGCCATTGATGCAAAAGTCTCCTCATAGTCTACCCCATAAGTCTGTGTGTACCCCTTTGCTATCAATCTTGCGTTGTATTTATTTACTATCCCATCAACTCCGTGCTTCACTGTGAATATCCATTTGCACCCAACAACTTTCTTGTCTTTGGGTTTGTCTCCAATCTCCCATGTTGAGTTCTTTTCCAATGTCTTTTGTCTTCTTTCATGGCTAGAATTCAATGCTTTTCTCTCATAACTTCTTGGATTGAAGTTGAGATATTTATTGAATCAATGGCAACAATGAAACTTTGATGTTGAACAGACAAATGGTTAGTATAAACATATTGTGAAATAGGATATTTAACACAAGATCTTTTTCCTTTCCCCAAAGCAACAAGAATATCATTATTAACACTTACTTCCTCAAAATTATCTTCTGGATTACTCACCTCTGGATTAGACAACTCCTCTTACCATGGAACTAAGGTGGGTTTTTTCTTTGATATTTTATGCCAAAGAATTTATCTTTCTCTTTTTCATTTTGGACATCCTGTAGAGACAAAACTAGTAATAACTTTAAGCAAGACTCATCTTCAGGTTCGAAAATTTTCTCCCCATGAAACCCAGGATAGACAAAAAAGGACTCATTTCATGGAAAGTGACATCCATGAAAAAAAGAATTTACAACTCTCGAGATGATAACATTTGTACCCCTTTTTATTTGATGGTAACCAACAAAGACAAATTTGATTGCCCTCAGATCGAATTTACCTCAATGAAGACAATGCGAATGGACAAAAGCTACACAACAAAAAACATGATAGGATAAACTTGACATAAAAGGGGAAGAAATAACCAATTACCGTAACAACTCAATAAGGCTTACACTATTAAGGACTCGAGTAGGTAACCTATTTATAAGATAGGTGAAAGTTAAGATAGCTTCTCCCCAATAAGTGTTGGGAACAAACATTTGGAAAAGTCAGACTTTAGCAACTTTTAGGAGATGACGATTTTTCCTTTCTACAACCGTATGTTTTTGAGGGGTATTAACATAGGTAAGTTCATGTACAATACCATGATCAATGATAAGTTTAGACAAATCATAATTCACATATTTAGTACCATTATCAAATCTGAGTCTTTTTATGGACTACCAAACTTATTTTTAACAAGATGGAAGAAATTGACAAATACATGACCAACATCATATCTATTTTTCATAAGATATGTCTATGTTACCCGTGTACAGTCATCAATAAACTCACAAACCATTTAGCACGAAAGATAGATTTCACAATGAGTCCCCGCGCATCAGAGTGTATTAATTCAAAAGCAAAAGAACTCTTATTACGTTGATTGGAAAAGAGGACTCATGATGTTTAGACAATTGACAAACATCACAATTATATGAATCAACAAAAACTTATGTAAAAAAATGCGGAAACAAAGATTTAATAAGACTAAAAGGATGATGTTTGAGCTTCTTACGTTGAAGCCATATTTGAGAAGTTGCCCAAGTATCAGTCTTCACATGGTGGTTTGAGGTTGACTCCATGTTCTTGTCAACATTCTTCTTTTGCTCTAGGAAGTATAAACCACCTTGTTCTTTAGCAATTAAAATTGTCTTTCTTGTGGCTAGGTTCTACAAGGAATAATGAGAATGAAAAAATGTTACTGAACAAATCAAGTCTATAGTGAGCTTTTGTAAAGAGATAAGACTATTAGCCAATTTCGAGACATGTAAGACTTATGTAAGAAAATAGAGGGCTCAAGTTAAATACTGCTAGAGCCAATAATGGCACATTATCTCCATTAGCAATTGTAATGAATTGTTTGGTGTTGTTTTGGAATATGATGCAAAGAGTGAAGGAAAGGGGGTCATGTGATTTGGTGCCCCAGAATCAAGAACCCAAACTTCCTAAGAAATGAAGCTAGAAGTATTGAAAGTACTCATACCCTTCATAGACAGTGTACATGAGTTAGAGGACTTACTCAGATTTAATCATCATTCTTAGACAATCAATCTCTATCTTACATGTTATATCTAGTTCCAGTTGAAAGGGAGGAGGATTTGCATCACCCATGGATGAACTCAATAATTTAACAACAGGAGAGAGACAAATATCTCAAATTTGCGTTAAATAGGGAGGATCTAGATGCTCCTTTCTAGCCCACTACTGACTCCAACAATGGCGGCATCAGTGCCGGTGGTGAAGAGGGTGGCAGCAACTCTGGTTTTTCTGGTTTTAGGGCAGTGGAAACAGAGATCCCAAGGACAGGAACTCTGATACCAAGTTGTAAGAGAGAATTCTATTAATTTGTTTCTTACTAATTACATTCTTCTCTTACCCTATTATAGAGATGCATTTGTCCCTAAAATAGGTAACTACGAAAATAAATAGAAATAAAGTAATTAAGGAAGATTGTAAAATAATTCAAATCTCCTAAGAAACTCCTATTTACAACAATATATCTTGTGGTTACATCATTTTACCACTTGCTATGGAAAGGACAGGCGTAGTGTTATGGATAGAAGTGTTAACTAATTCTGCATTCTGGTGATCAGTTTTAAACAGATCAACGTAATTTGACTGTGATGGTTCTGTTCATTAATTTCATTAAAATTTTACTCCCTAGCTCACTGATTTATATGTACATACACGTCTTTAAGTAAGCTTATGACTTTTCCAGCGGAACTGTGAAGCTTTAATGCTGCTTCAGAAGAATGGTTTGCGAAAGAAGAATCCTTCAATTTCTGTTGTTGCTACACTGTTTGGAGATGGGGAAGATGTTACATGGCTTGAGAAGAATCATTTGGCTGACTGGGCAGACGAGAAATTGGATGGAGCATTAGGAAGTGAAACCTTTGACAATTCTCAGCAAAGAGCAATTGCACTGGGTTTGAATAGAAAGAGGCCTGTATTGGTTATCCAAGGGCCTCCTGGTACAGGTAAGACTGGTTTGCTCAAGCAACTTATAGCATGTGCTGTTCAGCAAGGTGAAAGGGTTCTTGTTACAGCACCTACTAATGCAGCTGTTGATAACATGGTTGAAAAGCTTGCAAATGTCAGATTAAATATTGTGCGGGTAGGAAATCCAGCTCGTATATCAAAAATTGTGGGATCAAAGTCTCTAGGAGAAATTGTAAATGCTAAGCTTTCAAGTTTTCGAGAAGAGTATGAGAGGAAGAAGTCAGATCTCAGAAAAGATTTAAGACTTTGTTTAAGGGATGATTCACTAGCTGCGGGCATACGCCAACTTCTGAAGCAGCTGGGAAGGTCACTGAAGAAAAAAGAAAAGCAGACCATAAATGAAGTTCTATCTAGTGCTCAAGTTGTGCTTGCCACTAATACTGGAGCAGCTGATCCTTTGATTCGAAGGCTAGATACTTTTGACTTGGTTGTCATAGATGAAGCTGGACAGGCAATTGAACCCTCTTGCTGGATTCCCATACTGCAGGGAAAGCGCTGTATTCTTGCTGGTGATCAATGCCAACTTGCTCCTGTTATATTATCACGAAAGGCCTTAGAAGGTGGTCTAGGAGTATCTCTACTGGAGAGAGCTGCAACTTTGCATGAAGGGATTCTCACCACCAGGTTAACAACTCAATACCGTATGAATGATGCAATTGCTAGTTGGGCTTCAAAGGAGATGTACGGAGGATTGTTGAAGTCCTCAGAGACTGTCTTTTCACATCTTCTTGTAGACTCTCCTTTTGTCAAGGTATTATGCCAATCAATGATATCTCCATTTTCATTTAAGTGAAGCTTTCTATTTATATCTTGTCTTAACTAAAGTATCTCAGATCTTATTCTTGTTACTGGTTTTATCTTGCTGGTCCTTAATTTCAGAGAAGCTACTCAAAATCATTCAAGTTTATGAAAATTTTACAAAAGTAATATTTTCAGACAGTGTTTTGTTTTTCTTTGTATTGTTAGTTGTTACACTGTTACTGTTGAAAAAGGAAAGAAAGAATCTTTGTTGAATAGCAAAAAACTCCAAGTCTGAGTGTGAGTACAGCCTGAAAAGGGGCATACAAGATGACAATGCTCCAGATAAATTAGAGAGACCCTGGACTCTCCTAAATGCCTTACATTGTTTAACAACAAGATCCCCTAATTTGTTACCCTCATATAAATAACAGCCGCTAACTCTAACCCACACTTCTGACTAATGCTAACTTTTAACCTGACTCTTGTGCCACATCAGTTTGGGAGCTGCTAGTTCCTGGCCTAATCCCCTTATTCCTAACAGGCCTGTTTTACTACAAGCCTTCTATCAGATACAGTGGAGGCATAAGAACTAGGTAAGCAGGGTGACAATGACGAGTATCCTTGTAAGAGATCAAACCCCTGAAACATCACACCTCCTTGTCAAAGACTGAGTCAGTGAGCCTAGTACCTGCTGCAGAAGAATCTCACCGGAAATGGTCTTACTTTTGATAAATAAGACACAAGCTGAGATCCATGTTTTTCACACTTCAGGGGAATAGAGCAAGTATTCCTGGGTTGGGGAGGCAGAGAGGGCTAAATTTCTATTTCTGAAGTGTAGAGTGCCAAATGAGTAGGTCTGTTATTTATGAGGCTCACTTGCAAAATTTTAATATAAAATTGGCAAATCCCCTATGGCCCTCCTTGACCGGAAATGGTGTTACTTTTGATAAATAAGACACATGCTGAGATCCATGCTTTTCACACTTCAGGGGAATAGAGCAAGTATTCCTGGGTTGGGGAGGCAGAGAGAGCTAAATTTCTATTTCTGAAATGTAGAGCGCCAAATGAGTAGGGCTGTTACTTATGAGGCTCACTTGCAAAATTTTAATATAAAATTGGCAAATCCCCTATGACCCTCCTTGACCGAACATGCCGAACCATATTTTTGTCAACCTGTTCAGCTTATAAACAGGTCGGTGCAGTATTGATAGCTCAAGCTTCTTAATAGGCAACATGTAATGCTGCTGATGTACAAGTCAGAACTTTTCATGAAAGAGCTTTGTCAAGAATTATTGTATGAATATAAAAAAAAATATATGAAAGATTAGCTGCTTATTCATTACAATTTTATGGACAGTCTTAGCTTTTGTCATATTTTGAGTTACGTGTGCTTTTGACCCAGGGGCTTATGTGATTATGTATTGATCTTTATCTTTTTTTCTCTATTTAATTCTAGTATTACTTATTCTAATTACATGAATGGAAAGCTTGACCTTGCTGTTGTTGCAGCCTACTTGGATAACACAATGCCCACTGCTATTGCTAGATACTAGAATGCCCTATGGAAGTCTGTCAGTTGGTTGCGAAGAGCATCTAGACCCAGCAGGAACAGGCTCGTTGTATAATGAAGGAGAAGCTGAGATAGTTTTGCAGCATGTCTTTTCCTTAATTTATGCTGGTAATCACATTTGACTCATAAAGGTTTTCCTTTGGCAATATCTTACAAGTTTAAAACATAAAAAATTCCTTTTTGAATGTTTTGTGGTATTATTAACAAGAAATTGTAAGAACAAAAAACAAAATGACCAAGACGGAAGGATAAATGGTACTCCGGTCACTACCCCCTAGCCCAACTACTATAGTGAGTGGACACACGTGGCAATGTGTAGCACCATGGACACCTTAACGTTGTACCAGTGGGCCTGTTACAAATGGTTTTTGGTGTTAATAACCTGGTGCGTTAGTCTTTTCTGTTTATAGGCCAAAATCTGATGTTTAAATAACTACTTTTTTAACATTATTATTTACTTGAATGGTTAATTATGTAACCACTTTTGGATCATTCTTAACTAGTAACCATTTGAGTGGTAATTTGTTCCTAAATTTGAAAAACTTCTACCATGAATTGTGGAGATACTGGTCTGTATTTAATCACGGTGGAAGACCTGAGTACTAGTTTTACTCTCCATTCTGAATCCACCAAAGAGATTGGTACGGAATAGAAATTAATATATATTTGAAAATAGTATTTTTAATCCAAGAAAAAAGAAAAAGGCGTTAATGCATACCATTTTTTGTTGTCATATTTTAGCAAAATAAGTTCCGAGTCTTTTGATGTTATGAAATCTTGTGATGAAACTTATTTGTCATTGTGTTTCCTGATGTAAAATTTTCCTTGGTAATTTGAATCGGAAATGCAGGTGTTAGCCCAACTGCTATTGCAGTGCAATCCCCTTATGTTGCTCAGGTTCAACTTTTGAGGGACAAGATTGATGAATTTCCCGAAGCTGCAGGTACTGAGGTTGCGACCATCGACAGTTTTCAAGGTCGGGAAGCTGATGCAGTTATTTTATCCATGGTATGATCGGAAACCAATCTTTAGATCCATCATTTCAACACTTTTCTGGTTGATAAATAAATAAATTTAATACTGATAGAAAAATATTATGACAATACAACCTTAAATGCAAGTTGAAGCAAGTCAAATGAAGCCCCTTCCATCCTTATTCCAATTGGAGGTGTCATTATACTCACTACTTAAACATTGATGGCCACTACTGCTTCAATGCTGTCCTCTTCTAATTCACTATCTCTCTTCTACTTTTTCATGATTAACTTCTGCAATTGGGTGTTTATTTAAAGTTATTCTTTAATGTTTGATGAGATAAATGATCAATTACTACTACCAGTTTGATTATCGAACCTTCAAATCCTGAGATTCTGAATTTGAAAATCACTTTGTTGAAATATTTATCTAGTACTGGTCTTAAACATGAACTGACATCATCGACTTGTACAACACATTTTTAAAATAATAACAAAATAGGTACGATCAAACAATCTGGGAGCCGTTGGATTCCTAGGGGATAGCAGAAGAATCAATGTTGCCATCACAAGAGCACGCAAACATTTAGCTTTGGTCTGTGACAGCTCCACCATATGCCACAATACCTTCCTAGCAAGACTTCTGCGTCATATTAGACACTTTGGTAGGGTGAAGCATGCAGAACCAGGTAGTTTTGGAGGATACGGACTTGGGATGAATCCAATATTACCTTCCATTAATTAGTATGTAACAGTAGCATGCAACAAATTTTAAAAATGACCTATAAATTGTCTATGGTTTTTTTTTTTTTTTTGGGGGGGGGTGTGGCGGTAGGAATGGATAGGTTTTTCCGTTCATTGATCAAAACTTGTATAGTTGTATAGCAATTCATAAATTCAAATTTGTGTAGCGTATCAAGTATCGCTCATGCATTAAAATTATGGAAGAAAAGTTTCATTGTAACTAAATTAGGGAAATGATTTACGGAACCCAAAATGTTCATTGATCTTTGTCATTGTTAAAAATTATTTAGTAACTTTTTTTATATTTTTATTTGGCTTAAGTAGGTTTTTAATCCTTTTAAAATTATGAGTTTTAATTTTGATCTTTGTAAAAAAAAATTTATTTTTCATCCATCTTAAATTTGTAAGCATTATTTTTAGTCCTCATAAAATAAATAAATATTTGTTGGATCCCTGAAAAATATTTTTCTTTGATTTTCATTTTTGAAAAAATTAGTGTCACAATTTTTATCTTTGACAATTATTTTAAGATAGATGAATAATAATTATTTTAAAGATTTAAATGAATTTTTAGGTGTTAAATACTGATGTGATATTATTAACAATTTGTGTAACACTTAGAATGTTCACTTAATCTTTAAATAAATGAAAATTTGTTAAAATGATTACACAAAAAATAGGGGCTAAAAAATAACAGGCTTTTTAGAGAGATGAAAAACAAAAAACAAAATAAAATTACAAGGATTAAAATCAAAATTAACTAATTTTGTAGCGGCTAAAATCATTTTTTTAAGTCTTTTTATTTTATTTCCAAACAAAACTTAATTTGCAATTTTTAATTTTTAAAATGAAATGACATCTTATAAGTACATAAATAATGATACACCAAAACACTTTAAAATTGTATAAGTATTTGTTAACATGTATGTCCAAATGCAAGAACTTCTTGAATTTTAAGCACTTATAATAAAAGTTCCTATTACATAAGAGTTTAGTAAATAAGGTCTTACATAAGTTGTTTGTCAAAACATGCCCTCAATATACTTTTAAGCTTACTTAATAGAGCTCTTAAAATTTACTAGTATGTCATTAATAAGTTAACTAAATCTTTTTCTTTGAGTCTTGTTGACTTTTCAATCTAATTTTGACATTGTTTCTAGATTACTAAATAAATTAAATTAAAGATTAGTTCAAGTTTCTTTTCATAATGAAGTTAATCCTTATTTATACTAATTCGTCTTGACTACGTATTACACCTATTTGTATTAATCTACTACTTGATTTAATTCAATTAACTAGATTATTAATTACATAGTTCTAAGACTTCACGATTAATTAATTTATTACTTATATGCATTTATTTAGGTATCTATAAGTGTTAAGTCTTAACCAACTGCTATATAATTTCTAAGACTCTTTCTTAATATACATTAGTTCAATTAATCTATATTAACTTAATCAAGGATTGAAAATCCTATTTATTTTAGTCAAGGTTCTTATTATTCAATTCCTTTGTTTTTAGATTCATTAAGGAGTTAATTTCTATTTAAATAATTATTATTTACTATGTTCTAATTAGTAAAATTTTTGGATGTTATAAGTTGAGAGTGCATTGGTCAAGCCAAAAGGCATAACCAAAAAGTCAAAATAAACATTTGCTAATCGAAAAGCAATTTTGTGTGTATCGGAAGGATTAAGGCTGATTTCGTGATGACTCATTATGTCTCTAGACTTTACAATTCAACTACAATACTACAAGAAAAATGTTAATTATCAATAATCATAATCCGTTGGTAGCACTGAATATTCATTAAAAACAGAATTTTTTATGGAGACAATTTTGTTAAAAATATGGGTGTAAAAAATTGTTAGAAATATTTTAATTTGTTAGAAATTTTTGACAATTTTTTTTTGGGAAATATCAATCAATAATTTTTTTTATAGATATATCAGTAAAAAATAATCAACAAAATTTTCATCAAAATGTAATGGTTGTTTACTATCGGCGAATACTTTTTTGGTAACACACTATATTACTTACACATACATTTTGGGAACTGACATAGTGGGCCACATGCAAAAATGGAATTTGGACTATTGGTCTACTTGAAACTTGGAAGTTATCCATTTTATAGTAGTTTGACTGGTACATGTGAATCAAGAATTGTTGACCGGCATGTGACACCTTATATCCTGCACTACCATAATACACGAATAAATAAATATTGAATCAAGAAGTCTATCATAAATGAAAATTCATTGTGTTCAACATAGAGAGTATCACATTTTAACAAAACAAACCAACTAAAGTTCAATTGAATTCTAATACCATAGAAATAACAACTATCCTAAATCATAATTAAAATAAACACAAATCCTAGCTAAGTCCTGATGTCATATCCTATCAAAGCATAAACTCAACTGCAAGGACTAGGATTCATTGCCAACATCCTCAATTTCATGTTGAAAATCATCTACAACAACATACAATAGGAGCAACACAAGACAATGAGAGTGAGAAACATCTCACTCTGGCTCACAACATAGAATGTAGCTAGATAGTCAAACACAAGCAATAATATAGTAAACAAATATCTTAATATAAACATAGTTATAAAGCAAGTTATGGTAAAATAGAAAATTCCAATATAATAGATAATACAATATCCTTTAGTTAACATCATGAGTTTAACACATAATCATTCACATGCATGATGCAATGGACACAAACTACAATTACTTATGCATGTGATGTCAATCAAATCGCGTGGTTTATTGCCATAAGACAACACACGGAGTAGCCTAAGAGTTCATGTCAAATCACACCCTCAACACACTCTACACTGGAAGGACATACATCGAGGGTTTAGTCAGGACAACGAAGTTACACAAGTTCTACTTTATGCTCACAATGGGTGAAATTCAGGTTCCCCAAACCCGACTATCCCTAAGGACTAATTCTAAAGCTTTTATATAAAGAGACATTTCTTGACGGTGTATTCCATATCGTAATATTCAAAAAAAAAGTATACATATGAAGCATGTTAACCAGAACTAGTGCACTATCATATCACAATACATATTTGCAACTATATATCAATTTATTTCATTTCATAATCACATTGTAGCTAAACCTTATTTATACTTATGATTATATCATGGTACCAAGGTAATATTGGATAACATAACAAACAGATTCTGTTGTGCATCTTATCATTGATTCAAATGTTTAAATTATTGTTATTATTATCTTTCTGTTTTCATTCAGTTGTACAAAACCTTTATATATAGGGTTGCTTCTCATTCAATAAAACACAATTAGAATTATCTATTCCAAACTCTTATATGGTATCAGCAGCTTTTGCTTCACAGCAATCTAATCGATCCTCAATCATGTCTTCCTCCAACAACACCATTTCAATATCAGATTCCCAATCTGTTGTAGTTCTCAATAACCATGCAACTGTCAAGCTTAATGGCATGAGCTATCCTGCATGGAAAGTACAACTCAATGCCCTTCTTGTAGGGTATGATCTTATTGGCCTCGTTGATGGCCAACTTACGTGCCCAGCACCCAATCATCGTGATTTCATATATTGGAGGCGCCAGGATCAATTGACTCTTCATGCAATCATCTCCTCTGTTGATCAGAATGTGATCACATTGCTTGGAAACATCAAGACATCCAAACAGGCATGGGATATCCTTAACAAGAGATATGCCAGCAAGACCCGTGCTCGAATCATGCACTTGAAGGAACGCTTAAGTCGGTACACAAAGGGCTCTCAGTCCATGACTGGGTATCTTCATGGAATTAAATCCTTGGCTGATGAATTAGCCATCATCAACTCTCCTTTGGATGATGTTGATCTTGTCATCCATACCATCAATGGTTTGGGTGATGAATATAAAGAGGTTTCTGCTGTCATTCGCACAAGGGAAAATCCTATTGGATTTGAGGAACTACATGATCTTCTCTCTGATGCTGAAAATTATCATAAGAGGGATGACAATACTAATGATCTACAACTGGTGGCCACTGCACATGCTGCACAAAAGAGCAAGCATACCTATAACAAAAATTCATCTCCTCAGAATCATGGCTCATCTTTCAACAACTATCGTTCCACTTCTCTCGGCTTCTCTCGCAAGATTTTTTGTCAATACTGTGACAAACCTAGTCACACAGCTAAGGTATGTTATAAGTTACATGGCTATCCAAAACGCAATAATGAACCTGCTGCACATCATGCACGCACCTTGCCGCAAAATGTACCAAATAATTGGATCCTAGATTCTGGTGCGACGCATCACATCACTAACGACCTAGACAACCTGCATCTCACCAATTCTTACCGCGGACAAGATCAAGTCATTGTTGGTGATGGTACTGCTCTTCCTATAACCCACACTGGTACCACTATTTTACACACCACCTCACACCCACTTCAATTAAAAACAATTTTACATGTTCCCACCATTGCACAAAACTTGTTATCGTTTCATCCTTGTGCAAAACTAATGATGTCTATGTTGAATTTTTTTCTGACCATGTTTTGGTGAAGGATCGGAAGACAAGGGTGCCTCTCCTCAAAGGACTCCATAATTGTGGACTATATCACATACCATCCTCCATCATCAAACCAATCCACCTCTTCATCTCACTCTCCATGGCACCACATCCTTGGTCATCCATCTGAACGCATTTTCAATCATCTGATCTCTCTGCATAAAATAAAAGCACAATCTACTGCCCCGTGTGTCTCATGTAGCATATCCAAAAGCCACAAGCTGCCGTTCTCGAGTTCGAGTTTGCACAGCAAGAAACCATTGGATCTTGTTTACACTGATGTTTGGGGTCCAACTCCTGTTAGGTCTTTAGATGGTTTTTTATATTATCTTATTTTTGTTGATCATTTTTCTAAATATGTTTGGTTATTTCCCTTGAAAAATAAGTCAGATGTTTCAATAATATTTCCTCAATTCAAAAATTTGGTTGAAAAATATTTCAATACACCGCTTGTGTCTATTTATTCTGATAATGGGGGCGAATTTCTCAAACTTAAACATTACTTAAGTCAACACGGCATCTCACATTTCACCACCCCACGTCACACCCCAGAACTTAATGCGACAGCTGAACGACGTCATAGACATATTGTTGAAACATGACGTGCCTTATTACACCATGCCAAATTGCCACCACAATATTGGTCGTATGCCTTCACCACTGCCACCTACCTCATAAATAGACTAC